GAGAATATGAGATTATGAGTTTGGATACAAATAGGCTACCTAGCTGAACCATAGATGGACCGAGAAATAGAATAAGAATGCAGTTAGAAATAAGTGGTCACGTGATGAGCCGGCGTGCACGCATGATCAGTTAGGTAAAGCGTATGCACGGGAGTCATAGATCTATTCATGGATGTGAGTAGGTGGTCCCACCCAGCCGACGTTGGATGTCGTCGTATTGAGCGGTTCTTCCATGGATGTGGTTGAATCAGGACTCTAGAATAAAGATATCGGCCTTAACCTAGGTTAGGTCATGAGCTTAGAAATAAGAAAGTTTGATTACGAGTTTTGCATATGAAATCATGTGTCATAAATGCCTAAGAATGATATAAGTTTGGTAATCCCGATAAGTATGTTTGATTTATGAATTACTCCCTCCGTCCTATAATGTTCTTCCCACACACTTTTTACGCGGTCAAACTTTGATTACTTTCTTTACCTATTTTCATTAGGTATTTGATAAAATAATATAGTTTTGTCACCACTTGTTTTGTAAAACTTTTGATGTAGTTTTTAAATATATAAATTTTATTTTTTAATTTTATACCTACAATCAAATAAATTGAATTGAAAATAAAGTCGGTCAAACTTCGTAAAATGAACCGGGAAGATCATTATAGGACGGAGGGAGTATCTGATATTAATGATGTTATTGATATGTAGTTGTGTGCATGATATTGTATGTAGTCATGAGCTACTGAGTTCGTCTATGTGCATGGTCAAAATGTTAGATATTTCTCACTTAACTTCAATGTTGAGCGTGTAGTCTTTTTTCTTGTTTGCTACACGTAGGTTTCAAACTGAAGAATAAGGAAAGAGTCTTGGTGGCAGCAGGGTAAAGAACCCAAAGTTGTATTTTTGAATTAAGTACTTAAAGCTTTCGCACCATTTTTGTTTACTCTGATGAATATTTAAATACTCGTATTATTTTGAATTAAATGTTTTTAAATCATTTTAAAAATTATTGTGTTTGGATGTCAATTTAGTAGCAACTCGGTTCGCTAATTCATTGGTTCATATTACGCGGGTTAGGATGTTACATTGAAACCTTTCATTTGAGAAAGATGAAAGAAGGGACCCTTCGTGCACCGCCGCCCGTCCTGCTCGGCACGACACATGCTTGCGATTCCAAATGCATGCGAACGCGTATTGGCGTGTGCATGTGTGCGACGCGTTGTGATGTGGCAAGGGCATGCGCCAACTTTATCTTTTTACGAGATCGAATGGAACAGGTGTGGCCACATCATTAATAATGAAGCATGCATGCAGTGTGAAAAGTCTCTGGAGACTCCTCGCGTTGTCCGCCCGTCCATACAAATAGCCAAAGCCTCTCTTATATAAAGAGAGGCTAATTGTATTGGAGCCACAAACAACTCAAAACTCTTCCTGCGTTCCTACTCTCTTGTCTTCCGGTCAATTTTTCGGGAAGTATTTAAAATAATGACAAGTGAGTTGGAGTCAAAAAATTTGACATGTGGGTCTTTAAACTCTTCCTGCGTTCCAACTGTCAAAAAATAATGCAACATAGATATCGCCACATGTCAAGTTTTTAAAGAGCCACATGTCAAATTCTTAGAATTTGGAGTTTCAAATTTATATAAAAAGTATTAGTCAAAAAATAATGTCACATAGATATCGCCACATGTCAAGTTTTTAAGAAGTCACTTGTTCTTTTGAATAGCCGCATGTCAAATTCTTAGAGTTAGGAGTTTATATATAGAAGATTTCCCGAAAAAATTTATATATAGAAGATTTCCCGAAAAAATTCCTTTTTTTTAAAGTAAAACATTTATAGTTAACCGAATTTATCTCTTCTCTTGAGCAATTCTAATGGCAAACTTTCCACTTTTTATTTTTTTTTAAATTTTTGGAAAGTCAATGAAAAGTTTTTCAAAAAGAAAAAACGAAATAAAACCCTACAAGCTGTAAAGGAATTAGACCTGGCAATCGAGTCAATCAGTTCGGTTCTGGTTTGGGTCTTTTCGGTTCGGATCTCTTTCGGATATATGTTATAATCAGTTCGGGTCGGTTTGGGTTGGGTCAGTTCGGTTCCGGGTTTATTTTGGTTTGATTGGTTTTTGGTTTCGGTTCGGTTTCGGTTCGGGTTTGTATCGGTTCGGGTTTGTATCAGTTCGGGTTTATATCGATTCAGGTTTATATCGGTTCGGGTTTGTATCCGTTCGGGTTATATCGGTTCACGTTTATATCAATTCGGGTTGTATTGATTTGGGTTTATATAGATTTGAGTTTGTATCAGTTTAAATTTATATTAGTTCAAGTATAATGTAAACACATACATACTAATAAATGAATAAATCACATAATAAATTTAGTTAATTTAGTTAACTATAATTTTTATATACTTTCTATAAAAATACAAAAGTATTTTAACTTAAGTTATAAAATGTAAAGTAAAAGTTTTGTACATGAAAGTAGTTACATGGTTTGCACCTATAATTTAAATATGTTTTTTTTAGAAACAAATCAACATATGTAAAAATATATAGGTAATTCGTTTTCTCCAAATTCATTGGATAAATGAAATATTAATGAATTTGATCAATTTCGGGTCTAATCGGGTTCGGGTCTAATCGGTTCCGGGTTTAACCGGGTTCGGGTTTAATCGATTCGGGTTTAATCTGTTCAGGTTTAATCGGATTCGGGTCTGAATCGGGTCTAAATACATTCGGTTCGGGTTCGGTTCGGTTCGGATCATTTCGGGTGTTCGGTTCTATTTCGGTTCTTCAGTTTTCGGGTCAAATCAAGTTCGGTTCCGGGTTATTCGATTCGGGTTATCGGGTCCTGGTCAGTTTTGCCAGGTCTAAAAGGAATGCCGTAAACGGTACGGTGCCAATAAAGGCATCCAATAATCCAATTCACCAATTGTAAGTAGACTTTGTGAAAAGGTGAAAATATTTTCTAAACCTTTAGAAAAAGTGAAATTTGCACTGAATATGACTAAAACATAAGTCATTTCCCAATATAAGACTTAAACTTTTTTATTCCCTAAATAAGACTTTATAATGACTAGTGAGAAGAATAATCTCCAAGTGATGCTGGACATTTAGTTGAATAATGACTAATAGATAATGACCAATGGTCCTACATTGGGAAATAAAAACATATGGCCCTATATTGAGAAAGTCATTATGTTTTAGTCCTATTTATGTAAATTACCCTTAGAAAAATGGTTCATTTTCTATAATGCATTTTCCATAATCGTTCCTTTTTCAGTGCTACAATCGTTCCTAAATCCCAACTATCCAAGACTATATTTTTTTATATATTTCTCCTCAGTTGATTTTACACGGTTTCCAGTATAAAATTTTAAATTTTAATATCTCTATTTGTATGTATTTATAGATTGTAAAAATATGATATTTTAAAATTATGTATCAAAATAAATCTAGTGATATTAAACTTATTTCATAAATCATAATTCGATAGATTTATACCATAATTCATGATCAAAGTATTGAAAAATGAATAATGCATGTGTGGTTAAAGTTAATTTAAACAAAAAAATAATAGTTTCGCGAAACACATAATTATTTTTTTAATGCGTTAGAAAATGTAAATTTTAATTTACAATGACGATTTGAAATATGAAATTATGAAATCAAATTTTGAAAATGTATTACAAAATATATGGAATGAAATTATTCTTGTATTAGTATATTATAAATTTTATTTAAATAATGACCAAATTTTATCAATTTTAAATTCAAAAAAATACAAATATTATGGAAGGAATATAATTTCGCATAATCTTTATTGTGCAACCTTTTTATTATAGAGAAAACTAAAGTGATTGGTAAATATTTGTGGTTGAGCGAATATTACGCAATAAATCAAAGACTTACCACCCAACCTTTATACTCACCTTAGGTAAAAAAGAAAAGATGTACCAAGTACTCATTGGAGTCATTCCCTCCAACAATAATGTTCTTCTTCTACGTTCGTTTGACTAAAATTATATTCAAATAATTTTAATTGAAAAATCGTATGAAATTAAAAATAAAATTACATATTTAAAAACTACATGAAAAGATATACTCCGTATAAAACTAGAGGTGACATAACTATATTATCTTATTAAATGAGCAACGAGAAAATACGTCAACAAAGTGAATGAGGTTTGACTATGTGAATAATGAGCAACATAATATACTTCCTCTTTATTGTTAAAATTGACTAATTTTAATCATTAATTAATTAAAATTATCTCGTACTTCTTCCATTTCTAAAAAGAGTTTTTAAATTGACTAATGGGTGAAATAAGAAGTACTAGTATATATTTGTAGTTTAATTTTTAATTTGCCTTGATGTAATAGGAAAAAGTAAGATGTCACAGATAGATTACTAGTAAAAAAATATGATGTGATAAGTAGTGTAAGAAAAAAATATGGATAAAGTTGGTTTTCTAATAAAAAATGGAAGTATTTTGGAGAAAGTGAAAAAATGAATAGTGTTTTTATAAAACGGAGGGGTATTATATTTTCAAAATAAATTCTATTGTATCTAATTAATATACTCCCTCCATCCCGAAAAAATTTTCCGGTTTTGACTTTTGGAAAGGGAATATATAGAAGTTGGACCAAGCTGAAACGACGACAGTTGAAACACGTTGGGCTCGAGAAATATCAAAACGGGTGAGCGTAGAAGATAGTTGAGATACGTTCACTTAGATTTAAGAAAAGTAAGGCCAATTGTTTCCATTTAGAAAAAATTGAAATGTTTTATGAGACCGATAAGAAGTGAAAATTGAAATGTTTCAAGGGGTGGAAGAATAATTCGTATCTTTTATTTAATTATATATCAAAGACTGATTCATTGTAAAAAGTAAAAATAAAGAAAATGCAAGGGAGTATATATATATATATATAAACAAACATACTCCACACCATTGTTTGTTTATCACTAAGAAGCAATAACTATCAATCTATTGCTGTAACCAATATGATGATGCATCCCAACCCAGGTATCTTTCTAATCATATCTAAGAGATTTTGTATTTGGACTTGCATTTTACGACTAATTTTTTTAGGTTACATGTTTGACAAATTATTTTAATGATGAATTCTATCTATGAAGTGTATCCCCCCAGACCCAATGCCGGCGCCATGCAACCGCCGGGAGGCGGCGGCCAGCTGGCCGGCAAGGCCGGTCAGAAGTACCTATTTGTTAAATTTAAGATGGGCAAGCATTTCCCTGCAGCCGAGGAGGAGGATCTTCTTCCTGCTCCGGTTGTGGTAAAGAAGGGGCAGTTTACAGGGAAGAGTGGGCTGAGCAGCAAGGACAAGGAGGTAGTGATCGCTTTTCCCTTCCCGGCGGCGGCACGGCCGGCCGTGCCGCCGGAGGCGATCGAAATCTCGATCACCAAAAAGGACAAAACCGCGGTCGGTAAGCTGAAACTAGAACACAGCGACGGGTGGTACGAGGAGAGCGAGACAGAGGCCGCACTGTCCCCGTACCCCTTCGCCGCCGACACAGACCAGAAGCAGAGGCTGTGGCTTGGTGTTTGGTCGGGGAGCAAAACCCACCCCGATTTCAGGGGAGCGGTCTTGGCAACCCTTCCGGCGGCGGCGGCGGGTCATTCCGCCGCCGTCGACACCAAGAAACACCCCTCTCTTTCACCCAAAGACCATGTTCACCCCATGTTGGCATACTACCGAATCTCCCTTTACCCTTTTGTCACAAAGGACCCAGAGAAAATGAACCAAAAGTACATGCATTTCCACTTGGAGGCGACCGTAGCAAACCAAGCGGTTCGTACATTGTCCTCCCCTGATCATCTTCCTATTCTCCTCAATGATCAAGACCTTAATAAGCCAAACTCCAATGATCGAGACCCTAATAAGCCAAACCCCAATGACATCTCCACCTTCTTGTTCGTCAAGGTCTACGGCACCCCACCGGATTCCGTCAAACTTGTCCTCAAACTAATGGCTTTTACCCGTAATTCCCCGGGAGACGGGAAGAAAACCGAGCTGAAAGTGGTTGGGACCGCCGAAAAACGGCTGAACACGGTGGGCCCGGACAAGTTCGAGATGGTCAAGGTGATGTCACGCGGAGACGACGACGAGGATCAAAAGGATACCGGGGTTACGGTTGGGGTCCTGAAGAGCATGGACCTCACCGGCTACCACGTGTTCGACGAGCCGCCGGATCGGTGCTCCAACTTGCATGCGACGGGGGTGTCGGAGAGTGAGCTCGCGGCGAAGAGGATAGGGTCGCTGGCTGTGACGATCGTGAGCGCGAGCGGCGTGGTGGCCGCTGGGAAGAAGGGGGCGGACACATACTGCGTGGCGAGGTACGACTGCTCCTGGCGCCGGACGGCGACGGTCGCCAACAACCCCGCCTCGCAGTTCCAGTTCGTGTGGAACGTGTACGAGACTAACACCGTTTTCACCGTCGGCCTCTTCGAAAACTGCCAGATCTCCGCCGCCGCCGCTGCCGCCGCCGGAGATGACAAGAAGAAGGAGCCGGCGGAGGACAAAATCATCGGGAGGGTTAGGATTCCCGTCTCCTCCCTCTCGAATAACAAGACTTACAATTTTGAATTCGTCTTCCGTGTCAGGCAACCCGACGGCAGCCTCAAGGAAATGGGTAGACGATCAAACTTTATTTACTTTGTTAGCTTATTTTTTCACTACTCGAGTGAAAGTAAAAGCACATGCATATTTATATGCAGGAAAGCTTAAACTGGAGTACAGATTCACCGGGAGGTTACTGCAGTCGGTGCTGCAATACTTCCGGCCGCCTCTTCCGCGGCTACACTACACAGAGCCAATACCGGAGTTGGACGTCGACAGGCTCCGCCCCTTCGCGGCGGGGCTGGTGGCGGACGAGTTGGCAAAGGAGAGTCCGCCGCTCATGAAGAAGGTGGTGGAGTCCATGTACGGGGCGGCCGACGAGGACCGGCGGCGGCGGAGAAGCGACGAGGCCGATCGGGAGGGCCTTTGGCGGTTGGGGAACAGGGCCTACTCGGCGGTGGAGGACGCCGTTTCGTGGCGGAACCCTATGGAAACGTCGTGGGTTCTATGTTTCCTTATATATGCAATCGCATTTCCGGAGTTCGTTCTGCCCACCGTTTTTGTCATCTTGGCCGGCATACCCCTGAAATCATACTTCAACCGCCCCATACCAATACCGGTAATTCTTTTCCTACTCCTGAAATTTGCACTACTAAAACATAAGTCATTTCCTAAGATATGAACTTTATTATGGGTTTAGGGATGCGAAGTCGACGTCATCATGGAGAGAGCCGAACCCGACCAGACGACGAGTGCGAGGTACGAGGCACTAAGGAAGAAGGCATTGGAGTACGAGACGTTGTTGGACAAGTGCGCAACGAAAGCGGAGGGCCTGACGGCGCTCCTGAGCTGGCGCAACCCTGTGGCCACCGCCGCCACTATGGCCTTCTTGGCCGCGGCGGCGTTCCTCCTCTTTTTTGTGTCCTTCCAAACCGCCGCCACCGTTTTTGTGCTCTGTGTCTTCTTGTATCCCTTATTTGCTCCTCCGCAAGGCCAGCAGGGAGGCATCCCGCTCCTCAACTTCCTCCACCGCGTTCCCGGCCTCAATGACAATGATAAAACCGTCATGTGATTCATCATCATTTCATCGTCACTTTGTTGTGATTGCAAGAGTAGTTGATATCAAATACTCCCTCCGTCCAAAAGAATGGGATGAATTGACTTTTTGGGAAATTAAGGGAAGGATATTTTTGTATTGACTTTCCGAAAATACCTTTGATATGATGAGTAAAAGTAGGATGTGATGAATAGATTATTAGAAAAAAGGTATGATGTGATAGGTAGGGTATGAAAAAAAAGGAGTAAAAGTGATTTTTTTAATAGAAATGTAACGGACCTTACGGGACGCAGTTTTTTCTAAACGTAACAAACTTTTTGGGAGGGAGGGAGTAATATAGAGGGAGAACTATACAATCTTCAAGTGATGAATTATATTACTAGCTGCATGTGTTTGTACTGCAATGGTTGTCACTAGTTATACTTTTCATTTTTGTTACTGCATAAATGAAAGTGGTCCAATAAAATTCATGATTATCTGCATCCTATATCTTCTAGCTAACACATCGTCCCCTGTAAATTTTGCCAGTTTTTGTCCACTGATCTCTTCAATTTGTTTGTAAGAGAGCTCACACTGTACCTTTGATGATCCCCCAACCACTTCGGCATATAGCTGAGCTGTTTTCTCTTCTCATTACTGCAGTCTAGCTATCTCCCTCTTGTTTTCTCCAGTTTCTTCTTCATCCGTTGGATATCGGATATATCCGTATCCGTTTCCAATTTTCAAAACCAAATTTAAAAATACTTTAATTTTAAATTAGATTAAAGTCAAGCTATTATTAAATCAACTATAATTTGTGATGGGGTCATTATTTTCTTTGTTTTCATAATTTATGATATTCTACGATAACTTCATATGATAAAAAGATATACACATCACACATATACGTACACATATTTTTATATGTTGCACATATTTTCATGTGTCTATATATCCATTTTGTGTATAAAAATGTTTTATACTTTGAAATATCAATAGAGAAACTAAATATAAACATAAAAAATTTGGAAAAACTATATATGACGGATCAGATATTTGGATAAACGGTTATTTAAACAAATGCATACTCGGATCAGATTTTAAACGGATCGGATATACAATTACCAAATCCGTATCCGTTTAGTAATCTGATATTCTTAATCGGATACGGATAATATCCGTTTAAAACGGATGCAGATATTTCCCTTTTAAACAGATGCGGATGCGGACGGTAATCAGACTTTCAGGTATCCGTTGACAGCCCTAATTAACGAGTATCATTTCAATAATTAGTCATCACGAAGAATAATTTAGAAAAACAAAAACTTTCTTCATCCCTAAAAGTCTTTCTTTTTTTATTTTTTCTTGTTCCATAATCTCTTTCTCCTTTTCATTAAAAAAATCGCTTTCACTCATACTAATTCTTTTTACTCTACCAATCACATTAAATTATATCTATTCATTAAATACTACTTTTATCTATCACGTCAAGGTTATTTTTAGAAAGTTAACATAAAAACATCTCTCCTTAAATAAAATAAAAGTCAAAATAGGAAAGAGATTTAAGGACGGAAGGAATATATAGTTATTGGCCTTGTTTGGAAACAACGTTTCCCATTAACTTCAGCATTTTGAATAAATATTAATGATGTACTCCGTACATTATTTCAAAAAACGCTAAAACTAAAGGTTATTGTTAGATAGCCTTTTAAAAATGCTAACGCTAACATTTACCGTTGATGCCAAACGGTTCATTGAGCACTCCACCCATCCCAATTTAATTGCTTGTTTCGATTTACGATGTTTGACTGAAATTATTTTCAATTTAATTTATTACAGAATTGGGGTAGAATTAAAAATTAAGTTTTACATATTAAAATTTACATAAAGAAAACCCTACGAAACAGGAAGAAATATGACTATATTATTTTATTAAATGAGTAACAAATATAGGAAAAGAACACGAATGAAGTTTGACCATGTAATATTTATAGTAAACAGACAACTTAATTTAGGATGTGAGGGATACCATTGTAGAAATTACTCTTATTTCAAATTTACAATGTTGAATTATGGATGGAGAATTAACTTTCAAAAAAGAGACTTTAATTATTCAAAAAGTCTTTTCCTTTCGTGGAAATGAATGGGTGCCGTAGCAACAACTCTTCTGATTCATCATTATTCTAAACAAAACAGTAAAAATGGAGAACTAAACTTTCAAAAAAGATACTTTAGCTAGACAAATGCATTGACCGGACAACACAAATTACCTTCCTTCTAAAAGCATCCCGATCTAGTGATGAATATAAGACTAGGGGTGAGCATGGTACTGAATTTAGCTCGTACCTATCCCGATCTTGAAATATTGGTTTAGTATATGATTATGGATGGTTCGATTTCGGTAGAAATCGAGATGAATACACATACCTACTTCAAACCTTAAAATGTAACAATTTTCCTTTTGTTTTCGAAAATTGAAAGTAAATTTAAATAAAAAAACATAAAAAATTTAAAAAATAAATATTTAAATGCAAGAGATGTGTATCAAAATTTAGTTTATATTTCACAAACTAAAAAAATGAACGATAACAAAGGAGAATATCGAATCTTTATGAATATTTTTATGTTCAGATGCAAAGACTAAAATTCAAATAAATTAAAGTATAACTTACTCGTGATAGAACTTGAACAAAATTTTAAAAATAAATTTATTATTTACTCAAAAATTATTAAAAGATTATTATTATTTTATACTCCCTCCGTCCCAAAAAGATTTACACATTTTGACTAAAGTTGAAATTAAGGGAGGGATAATTTTGTGTTGACTTTCCAAAAATACCCTTGATGTGATGGGTAAAAGTAGGATGTGATGTGTATATTATTAGAAAAAAGGTATGATGTGATAGATAGGGTTTGAAAAAGTAAGGGGTAAAAGTGGTTTTTTAATAGAAATGGGTAGGAGATTGTGGGACGCAATTTTTTTGAAAGGTGTAAATCTTTTTGGGACGGAGGTAGTAATATATTAGTATATATGTTCGGTTCAGGATTTTCTTTATGGGAAGTCACCTCCTACCGTTTCCAAATACCGTACCGACCGTTCGGTTCGGTACAATTCGGTTTCTTCTCGATGCTTTTTCGGTTCGACATTCTCGATTTTTTTTGAAAAATTTCGGGATCGCTTTGATACTTGACCACCCCTACATAAGACCATACTGAGTGGGAGGTGGGACCAGACCGAGTCATCCATGTGGCACGGACATGCGTTCGGTCTAAGTAGGAACACTGCCCCTTCGAAACACGATGTGGTATCAGTGACTGGCAACCACACCGCTCCGGGTTGGGCTTCATTCGGAGGCGATGAGGCTGAGGTGGCTGGCGGGATTTGTGATACACACCGGAGAGTGTAAGGGTATAGTAGGTTAATAAAATCAGTACTTCTCCGACTTAAAATGAATGTTACCATTTGACTTTTTTTTAACTGTAACAGTATTTCTTCATGAAATAAGTACTCCATCTGTTCTTTAAAATGCTTTATGTGCCGGTGGGCGTTGCGCAGTTGGCAAGATAATGAGTGCCAAGGAAGGTAAGACTCGAGTTTTATTCCTGACAACAGCGCTGAAAGGCAACTATGTTAAGTATAGGGTCTCTACAATACCCACGTGCAGACTTTACTCTCTGCCACAAATTTGCAATTAAAGTCTGATGGGTGTATTTCACCCATGACCGGTCAAAGATCCGGGCCAAAACATTGACCGGTCAAAGAGGTCAAGCTCGGAGGCAAGTGATGAATCAGCAGACGATTGACCGAAACTTTTACCGGTATACTTCGATAGTATACCGGTCAAACTCGCCCATGGTCTAAATTCATCCTTCGAAGTTGGCCAAACCCACCCTCAATGTTCAGCCGGTATACTTTCAGAGGATTGGTGGGTGTCGGCAGGAAGAATCCAAGAGGACTTGGACTGTAGTGGTTGGAATTGCAGAGATGCCGAAGGAACATTTCCAAGCCAGAACACGACAAAGGTGCAGCCTCCTACGCAAGATGACAAGGCAGAGCCAGTCAGGTCACCCCACACCAGCAGCATGCCCCCACGTGGGCACACGTGGTCCTGCCCCCCCCCCCC